AAGAATTTGGGGTCAGAGCAATACGATATTTGAAGTGTGTTTTATGAGTTTCTCTGTTTGTTTTGATATTCTGTTGGAAGAAGGTGTGTCCTTTGGTAGACTTTCTGGTTTCTGAAAAGAATTTTTTTTTCTTTTGTACATCATAAAACATAAATTTAAACAGATGGCCTTGCATTTTCCTCATTTTTGGAATGAAAAATATCCTACTGGAAAAGGTGAAGAAACTGAGGAAAGCGAATGACACCATCCTGTTCCCCATTCTCTCTTTGCACTGCGTTATTTTCGAAGCAATAGGAAATGCAAATCAGTCCTTGTCTCATGTCCAACTCACCTGCCTCTTCCTCTTCATATCATAGTGACCTCTAACAGACTTTTATATTAGACACTAGAACAGTGTTCTCCCTCCCTCCTTTTTTTTTGGGGGGGGGCAGTATCAGGGATTGAACCAAGGCCTTCACACTGAGTTATATCCCCAGCTCTTTTTTTCAATTTTTTATTTTGAGACAAGATTTTTACTAAATTGCTGAGTTGCCCACATGGAACTCCAATATCCTCTGCCTCCCAGGTGCTGGGATTACAGGCATGGGCCATTGTACCCAGCTAAGGCAGTGTTTTGTTTCATTTTGTTTTGTTTTTTAAAGCAATTATTTGAAAATAAGAATATTCTTCATATATATATATTTTCCCTGAGATAAGGTCTCACTTTGTGGTTCAGGTTAAACTTGAACTCACTATGTAGCCCAGGCTGCCCTTGAACTCACTATCTAGCCCAGGCTGGCCTTGAACTTGCAGCGATTCTCCTGCCTCAGCCTCCCAAGTGCTGAGATCACAGGTGTACACCACCATGCCTGGCTATGTTCTTTGCATGTTTTACTATATATGATGGTAGAAGATGGGGTGAAACAAAGACTGGCTAACAGAAAAGACCCAACACTGGAAATTCAGGAAGCAAGAATATGTCATACAATACCCAACAAATATTTATTAAAATTTTTTACGTGTAGAGAACCCAGCTGATTATTAGAGAAGTTATGAAGGTGTGTAAAATACAGATCTTACCTTCAATGAACTTAACAGTCAAATGGAATCAACACAGTCACATCCCAAATCACAGTAAAGTTATAAAAAATATTTGACAATTACTTCAGTGATATATAGGGTGTCTTGTTTACAGATACAGGAGATAAAATTTATATATGATAAAATACAACCACTAGACGCGTACATTTGAATTAATTTGGTAAATTTACACAATTGTGCAATCATTACTGCAATCTAGTATAGAACATTTCCTCTACTACAAAAAATTCCCTCATGTGCTTATTTGCAATAAATACTCCCACCCCCAGCCTTAAGCAACCATTGATCTGCTTTCACAGAACAGCCTCGAGTCTGGGGCTAATTTGACCCTACTCCTGAGACCACACCTTTCTGAGGCCTCTGCACAGTGCTGATGGGAACATGAGCTACCCCAACCCCTGTGGACATAACCCTGTAGGAATATTTCCTCCTGCTGTGTTCTTTGGTTCTTTCTTCAGCCTTGATGATTTCCTTGCACTTACCCTAAAACTCAAGAGGACTTTTCTGCAAAGCTCTAAGAGAAACCCTCTCTGCATAGTTCTTTCTTCTCTGACACTCTGCCCATGAATTTCAGTTGCTTTGGGCTCCCCAAACTCCCAACTCTGTCTCCCCAAGCAGGATGCTCTTGGGTTTGACGTGAGCTGGGCTCCTCGTAGATCTCTTTCCTCATCCATAATCTTATCTCCTGGATCACTGTCTTGTATCACCTATTGTTCAACATCTAAAAACCACTGTCTCACATATTTTATCTGGTTTCTAACTGTTTAAGGTGAGAAAGTAAGCCCAGTAATTCCATTTTCCTATTATTCCTGGGCACCACCTATTTATGGCCAGTTCTGTATAATACAGTTAATTCTCAATCATTCTAGTTTAAACTAGATTAAACCAGGTTTGAAATAAAAAATGTCAAATATAGATATATGAGGATAATTTAAAAGTTTAAAAATAATGAATATATGAAAAACTCTTCATATTATTATGACCTATAATATTTGTCATTTTGCTGGGGATTTAGCTCAGTGGCACTGCACCTGCCTCGAAAGTGCAAGGTCCTGAGTTCGATCTCTAGTACCGAAAAAAAAAAAATCAAAACCTAAAAACAGAATATTTGTCATTTTATGTCAGTCTAATAAGCTATCCCTTTCTAATCCTGTGTATATACCTGTTATCTTGAACTGCACAAAGAATGGTGAGTGGAGTTAAATGATTCATTCATTTTCATTTTTAAAATTGTGGTAGTAAGGGAGTACTGAGGATTAATCCTGGGCCTCATACATGCTAAGCACACACTCAACCACACCAGTAGTCCCCAATTCATTAGTTTTAAATTAAAAAGTAACTGGGCCGGGGATTTAGCTCAGTGGTTTTGCCGCCTGCCTCGAAAGTGCAAGGTTCTGAGTTTGATCCCCCATACCAAAAAAAAAAGGTAACTGAATTTATTTTGTAACCTCTTGTATGATATGGCCAGTTTGCTTAGCGAGGTGGAAAACGGCAGTGACAGAGCGGTGGAAGTGCCAGGGGCACGGCCAACATTCCACTTGATACACTAGGGCAGTTGTGGCAAATCTTGTAGAGCTTTCAATGATACAAACAGCCCACGGCGGAACAGGTGCCATAGGTTTGCCACCACTGCACTAGGGTAATCTTATCCAGGCCATTGTTTTGTACTTTTGTCAAACTTTTGAATGACACTAATAGAATGACAGAATGACAAATATGTTCATTTATCAGGATTTTATGGTTTCTAGGGACAGAAACTCTCACCTAAACTAGGGAATCAAAAAAGGGAATTATGGCTAACTAAATGTTAAGGCTAGTTTTTAGATGTTGCTGGATATAAAAAGGCAAAACATGTTATCATGTTTCTATTTTTCTCTCTCTAATCTAGCTTTATTTCATTCATTTTGACTCCTTTCTTAAACAGATTCTCCCACCCTAGTAGCAAGACAGCTTCTTGCACAGCTTATTTCAAAGTGTTCCAAGCAGAGTTCCCAAGATTGGCTCTGAACCAGCCTAGGTCATATGTGTATTCGTGATCACTTTGGTAAAGGAATCCAGAGCTCTGATTGACCTAGGCCAAGGTCATGTGCTTTACCTTAGCCTGAGGGTACATCTCCTCTCAGAGGATGTGGCCAAGAATGGAAATCAGAGCTGGAGGATCCCCTGAGCCTAGAAGAAGAGACCAGCCTAGGCAACATGGCAAGACCCTGTCTCAAAAATAAACAGCATTATTGTTGATATTGTTAATCTTAGCTCATGTTATGGCATAGGGGAGAAGGGGGAGGCAAGGAGAAGGGAATTTAAAAACAAGAAACAAGTTGTGATATGTACATGTAACTACTCCCCAAGATGACTGTAAACTGCATGAATTGAGGGCTGGGGATTTATTAGCTCAGTGGTTTCGCCGCCTGCTGCATAAGCGCAAGAACCCGAGTTCGATCCCCGGTACCACAAAAAAAAAAAAAAAAAGAGAGAGAGAGAGAAAAAAAACAACTGCATGAATTGCAAACATGTACTAATAAAATAAAAGATAAAAGAGTTGGAAGGAAAAAACTCACAGCAACAACTACTACAAGAAAACTATAGTTTGAGTACGACAGTCTACAATATCCCCACCTCTATTCTTGCTCCAACAACTCTTGGTCTGATTAGCTGCGAATTTGAGGTACCCTGTGCAATAGAACAGATGAGGAGACTGTATAATCTGACAGCAGAAATCTTGGAAGACCTTATAAGAAAGGGAAGACTTTAGCATCGAGATATAGGAGGACCATTCCAGGGAGAAAGAACAGCACAAAGACCACAGGCAAGAAAGTAGAACAATAAACAGGTTAGTGAAAAAGGTCAAGCAAGTCCTCAAGCCTCAGACTCAAAGGCTTGACTTTTTTTTTTTTTGGTACCGGGAATCAAACTGAGGTCCTTGCACTTGTGCAGTAGGCAGAGAAACCACTGAGCTAAATCCCTGCCCCAGATGCTTGACTGTTATTCTGAGTATACAAGGGCACAGGTCACCACACTTCTGTAGTGCTAAATAGTAAATATTATAGACTTTGTAGGCCAAGATGCAAAAATCAGTGATACTATGTAAGTACTGAACAATAAGAGAAACAAATGTCCATAAATTTTTATTGATAAAATTCTAAATACATTGGTAATTGAGTACAATTACTTTTGTAATACAGATCTACCACATAGACTTTTTACTTTTTTTTTTTTTTTCAGCACTGGAATCAAACCCAGGACATATTAGGCAAATAATCTACCACTGAGCTGCACCCCAGTCCATGAACTTCTTTTTAGAGGATCATATTTTACTTATTTGGGGTTCAAAGTTAGTATGCCCGTCAACAAATACATTATATCAGAAATGTTCACCTAAGGGCCAGGGATGTAGCTCAGCAGTATAGCACCTGCCTGGGAAGTGTGAGGTCCTGAGTTTGATCTCCGGTACCAAAAAAAAAAAAAGATGTTCACCTATAAAAATCATTCTAAGGCAACAAACTGTCCAAAAACAATCAGCTGGATTAGACCCAAAGGCTGTAGCATCCAGACCTTTCAAAACTAGGGAATCGTCATATTTTGGACAAGGGAAATTCATCGGATCATAATGTTCATTACATCAGAATGAGACTGACTGGAGGCAGCAGAGTAGTCCCTCATACTTTTTTTTTTTTTGAGACAGGGTCCCACTATGTAGCCCAGGCTGGCCTCAAACTCATGGTAATCCTCCTGCCTCAGCCTCCTAAGTGCTGGAATTACAGTTGTATGCCATCACACTCGGAAGTCCCTCATACTTTATCTGGGGTTTCACTTTCCATAGTTTCAATAACTTGTAGTCAATCATAATCAAGAGTATTAAGTGGAAATTACCACAAATAAACAGTTCATAAGTTTTAAATTGCATGTCATTCTGAAAGACATGATAAAATTTCATACTGTCCTGCTCTACCCTGCTAGGAGTATGAATCTCCCATGTTCCAGTGTATTCACATTGTATATGATACCTGCCCGTTAGACACTTAGTAGCCATCTTGATTATCAGGTCTAGTGTTGAGGTTATATTCAAGTAACCCTTATTTTACTTAATAATGGCCCCCAAAATGGAAGAGTAATGATGTTGGCAATGTGGATATGCTAAAGAGAAGCCATAAAGTACTTCTTTTATGTGAAGAAGTAAAAGCACTCTCTTTTGAAAGAAAGAGATCACATTCTTGTGACATTTATTACAGTATATTACAGTAAAGCTTCTTATTGTTATTTCTTATGGTGCCTAATTTATGAATTAAGCTTTATCACAGGTTATGTATATATTGGAAAAACCATAGTAAATATAGGGTTCAGTACTATTCTTGATTTCAGGTCCCAGTTGGTGGTCTTGGAACATATTCCTCACAGATAAGGGAGGACTACTATACAGGATATGCAAGTGATAACAAGACTTTCAACTAGAATGTCATGAGTTCCAATAGTCATGTTCAAGAAAGCAACTCAAGTGATCCAAGTAAAGATCTTGAGTCAAAGCAGAGTTGGATAAAGCCACATTGCTACTTAGATGCACGTACTCTCATGTAAGGTGAGTATCTGCTCCCTTCTCAATACTTCCATGACAGGTCAGCATCCTTTGGGCTTTACTTTCAGGCACTGCCAAGACCTTTTGAAAATAAAAGAGAAATAACTTGTCTCTGAAGCTAGTTTTGTATCTAGCTGTGATGTGAATCATCATATCTTTTTGATCTATTCTGTTTGGTTATGCAATCATTTCAGCTCGATCAAATTCTCAGTTATCTAGTGGATAGCCTGATAATTAATAGCTTCTAATGTTCCATTAGATAGACACTGTACCTAAGTGAAACTTGTTTTCCAAAAAGTAGAAATTATGGGCTGTTAAAGTCTTGTCTTTAACATGAACCTTGTTCATCTTGGTCTCTGAGGTGAATACAGTATGTGGGTATGTTTCAAGGATAAGAGGGTCTGGGCAATCGAAATTCGTTTACACAGTGGTCAAAGATCCTGCTTGGACAGTCAGTATTACTGGAGACAGGTGGTTCTGGATATGGCAGTGTGTATCAGTTAAATTGTTGTCCAGCCCAGTTTCTACAGATTTATGCTTAAGTTTTAGGGTACTGGGGAAGGGATAAAAGAAAGTTAACAGTGACTTGAGAGATTAAAAACCCTAGAAATTGGTGCTTTCACTAGCAACAGGAAACTTGCTCTTTGTACAAATGTTGGCACCCCAAGCCAGGTATTTACTACTTTTGGGTAAATGATGGCAGCGGTGCATTTGTGTTCGCATGACCCTGAAAGTGAAGGCTTCCATAAAATTTTAACCTAGACACCCTGGTCCTGGGCTTGTCTAGCAGTCATAATCTGTACAGGTAGTAATTTTGGTGACAAGTAGATATTAGTAGGAGAAAAAAAATGCTGAGTTCTATAAGAAGACATCATGTGTAATCTTTGGAAAACTCATAAAAAGATAGTCCTCCTATGAGCCCTATGTAAGACAAATATTAGAGTGGCCTCAGAAATATGCTAAGTTGACTCAAATCCTCTGTGGTACATGGCAGGCTATAAATATAACAATGAATCATAGGGCCAGGGATTTAGCTCAGTGGTTCTGGCGCCTGCCTCCCAAGGGCAAGGTCCTGAGTTCGATCCCTGGTACCAAAAAAAACCCAACAAAAAACAATGAATCAGTCAAGCATTTTACTACATATGAAGCCTGAGTTGTCACATGGATATGTGAATTCTGTTTCTATATCAAATCATATCTGATATATTATTTTCCTCCTAGAAAGCCACAAAGAAGGTGCAGTCATGCAGTTATTCTATTTCCTGTTTGTTTGTTTTATAGTTTTGTTTTATAGTGAAGCACATTTCTTAAGGAACAGGTGTATATGCTATTCGTCAAGAGAAACAAACAGAAGTGGAAACAGCCACTGCTGCCATGGAAACAGCCTGGAGTCCTAGCAGCAAGCATATTCATTTGCCTGGCCTGCCCTGTCAACACAGGTAAAGGATTTATCCATAGAATGTGAGTGACAGCCTTTCTGCTCCAGAATAAAGCTATGCCAATACATGTAAGTCCAGAAGCTAAGGAGAAAGCAAATTATTCTGCAAGCAGCCAGTGGTTTGGAAGCCAAAGGATAGTAATGTCGGAGTTAATTTATTCATATTGATTCCTCATCCAGATATGCTAGAAATAGGTCTCTTTAAAATTCAGTGGCAATAGCTAATACCACAGCTCTGTTACACCTGCCTTTTTTGCATTAAAAAGTGCAGTATTTTCTCAAAATTTCACTTGACCTCTGCCTCTATATTCTAAGCACAAAACCTATAGGGAAGAAGGAACGACATACCCTGGTGGTGATTTGAATGTCCTGCTTTCCTTTTCCACATATTCTAATTTTAATCCCTAAATTCTGTGAGAATTCAGAATTTTTTTTTTTTTTTTGCAGTGCTGGAGATTGAACCTAGGGCCTTACACACGCAAGGTAAGTGCTCGGCCACTGAAGAGTATATCACTAACCCAATAATACTTTTGATCTGGAAAATGTTCAAAATATCTTATGAGACCCATAGAATAATCTCAAATTATTGGAACTCAGTTTGGAAAAGCAAGCATCCTGCTCTATGGCATAGAACACAAAGAAAATCTTCTGAGTACAAGGCACAAACTTGATAAGATTTACACCCTGACATTTTTTTTAAAAGGCTCTTACCTCACTCTATGCTTCCCCTTTTCTATTTTTTCACATTTATTTAATATATGATAGGAATTATTCTAAGCATAGTGAATCACTGGTTTTTTTCTCTACAATTCTAAAGATGCACAAAAATAGCAGGCATTCACAAGCAAATGCTGAATTTTAATTCAAGGATGATAAGTTCAAAATTAGATCAGAATGTCCTTAGAGAGCTGGATGAATTGGGTATTTCAGTGTTACCATTTAGGGGGATTGAAAGTTATGTGTAACTTTTCAAGGCATTCCCAACACATATTTCTTAGATTTCTTCTTAGATTTCTCCTAAGAGAGAATCTACCTTTAAAATAAGAAAGAGAATATTGAGAATGAATATTTTTTCTCCTGCTCTATAAAGCGTATATACAGTATATAAATAATTTTGATAATTAAATGAAATATGAAGTCAAATTCTTAATCCTTTAGAATAATTTAACCATTTCATTAGTTGGTGTCATAATTTAGTCACATAAACACATTCACAAATTTTTAAACGTTTTACAGAAGTAAATCACCAGATGATTCCCCAAATTCACTTTTATAATGAATCTCAGCCTAGCCTAGTTTCTAAAGGAAATTCAGGCTTTCATTTTGCCTCAAAATGATGATATATAAATTGTTTTATAGAAAATTATTATTTAAAAACTAATAAGAGTAAGAAAGCAAATTATAAAATAAATTTAAAAGTTCAAATTTTGCCTGAAAAAATGTTTTTGGCAACTCAGGAGATAACTATCTATAACAAAGAACATGAGTAACTATTGTTAATACAACTTAAACTTTTGGAATGAAGCATAGAAGGCAATTATTTCCTACCTTCAAGTTGATTACCAATCAGCCAATTTAGAGATTAAAACTGTAATTGAATTATATTCTATTTCAGAGAATTACCTTTTATTAATTAGTAAAAAGAAAGTTCAAATAGATGGGATACTTTTTATGGAGAATGACAAAGAAAAAAGTGATGCTGAATGATTGTGTGATTTATATTTCAACGGAGTACAAGAAGCAACTAGGAAAAATTTTAAAGTGAATATAGAGAAAGTGGGATGTTGTTGGTAGCTTAAACATCCAAATACACCTAATATTTTAAGCAATTCTTTTAATCAAATATAAACAGCAAACTCAGTAGTTACACCAACTTGTATTTTAGTAACATGTTTTAAAAACAGATTACTAATCTCCCAGTAAGGATGTAGCTGCAGTCCTTCTTAGAAAAAAGTTTTTCTTCAGTAGTTGGTCCTGAAAATATATATCTCTAAAAATAAAATTTAATACCAAAGAAGTATTATTTTGTAGGAAACTTTGTGAATGTTGATTTGTAATATGCATGTTGAAAATTCTTTTAATTTTCTGAAGGACAGTCCTCCACAAGTTTTTTACCAAAGTTTAAAAGTTCTGCTAAAGATTTCCTAAGAGTGCTCATCTCACTTGCTTCCATCTTACTTCTGCTCCTCTGTGGTCACTACTACTGTGCAGGAAGCAATTTTGCAAGCATTTCTATGGCTGTGAGCCATGCATGAGTCAATTAGATTGCACATTTTAAAAATTCTCTCTACAGTTTATAGAACAGACTAACCCCTTCTCTTGCACTGCATTAGACTCAGATTCTGCTCTTTTGAGAAAAAATACATTAGGCCAAAAGGGAGGGAGCATCTCAATGAGATCATGGTAGAACACAGCAAAATCTTCTGTCTCTTCTCCTTTAAAAAATGCTATTCAAGACCAGGGATTTAGCTCAGTGGTGGCACCTCCCACTTCACAAGGGAAAGGTCCTGAGTTGGATCCCCCATACCAAAAAAAATGCTATTCAAACTCCTCCTGAAATGTATTTGAAACACACACACGCAAGCCTCAGATAACAGCAATCTCTAGTAACAGGGTCCAGCAGATCCACTCCTCCAGCCCCTTATTCCTCCAGATTTGTTTGTTTTAGGTTGACTTAGCTACCTTGTTTGTCAAAAGTAAAAATAACTTCTTATAAGAAACCCCCTTTCCATGAATACAGGTTTTTATAGATAGAAGAGAGAGTCAGTCATAAAAGCACAGCCTATTCAGGGTCACTCCAAGCCAGTATTTAACAAAACTAAATACAATAGACTAATAAAAAGAGTAACAAAGACAATAATACAGAAACAGAAGGTAGAACAAAAATATTTTTTCCCTTAAATTCTTTTATTGGTATACTGTAGGTATAAAATACATTTACATTTATCATTGGGTGCTTGTACCTGTACATGATATATCTTGGTTCTTATTTTTTCCCCATTCCCCTGCCCTCCCTTCACCCCCTCCACCCCTCTCTATTTACAAAGACTTTGTTTCCATTTTTTTCCTTTTCTCATAAGTTTTTCTTTCCCTTTTTTTCTTTCCCCTTCCCCTCCCACTTCCTCTACCCCTTTGGACCTTTTCTTCCTACTTCAAATTATCAATTATTCATTCTAATCATTTTAGTTCTTATTTACACTTGCAGTTTCTCACACCAGAGAAACTATTCGGTATTTACACATGTGTCCTATTTATTTCACTTAAGAGTATGGCCTCTATATGTATCCATTTAGCTATAAATGTCTCTGGTTTGTCATTCTTTATGGCTGAGTAGTAATACATTTTATTTTAAAAACCCCACTTCTTCTTTATCCAGTTTCCAGTTGATGGGCACTTGGGCTATTTCCAAGCTTTAGC